GTCATTCTTTATTTCATTATTCATTCATTATTTCTCCTTCATAGCTTTTTTAACTGAAGATAAAATCTGTGATTGCACTGAATGTTTGATGGGTTTTGCTTATTTGTAAGATCATCTGTCTTTTCATAGTCTGTTCAGTGTTTCTTCACTTACTGAAGAAAAATCATGACACTGATTTCTCTGCATTTGTCAAAATGCAAAACATTGGCTTTAATTAAAACTTTTTTATGAAATATGTAAAAATATTTGACACGGATAGAGTGGGTTTTTACCCTGAATGTCTTTACAGGAAAAATAAATGCCTTGATCAGCTCCATTTGATAAATGCCTTGATCAGCTCTATTTGAACCAGAGTCTGTGTTTCGCCATCTATTTTGTTCCAAAAAGGCCACAGCTTATGCCAACCCTGTTAATAGCACAGAGGAAAGGTCTGGAAGAATTTGGGCAGAGGAGAAGCTTTAAATGGCAGAGGAAGTAGGACCCAGAAACCAAAGCATGGTTTCTATCTCTACCAAGAGAAAACGTGAGAAGTGGAGTTTTCCAGAAGTTTTGCCTGGTTTGGGAAGCAGCTGTAGTATAATGGCTGGTGCTGCCAAAGGAAGCTTACCCACTTCTGGTCCTGCCCTGCTAAGCAGCAGAAAAGGGCTCTTCTCTGCTTACTTTCTGCTTCTTCCAGTGGTACAATAGTAATTACTCTTACAGAGCAACTCATATGCATACCATGTAGTAGGCGACAGCAAAGGTATTCCCAGTGTCTGCTATCTGGATAGGGCTTATAGAAGGTCCATGGTAGTATTTTTAGTGGCAATTTGAATTAGCAGTATGTGTCTTCAGTTGCACAAGTCAGTGTAATACCCACCTCTTGCTCAGGAGATTTTGTCATATGTAAGTTAAATACATATCTTGTCATTTTAAAATTATGTATTATATGCATATAGAATCATCCAATCGTAGAATCAACCGAGTTAGAGAAGACCTCCAAGATCGTCAAGTCCAACCCTTGATCCAATACCGCCGTGGTTACTAGACCATGGCACTAAGTGCCAAATCCAGTCTCATCTTAAAAACTATGTGTTTAAATTCTTCAAGAATAGCCAGCCCTTTTCTCCATAATCTCTTTTTTCCCCTAATTTCCTTCAAAATCTCCCTGTTCAGCCAGACTGGTCATCTTCCCTGCCAGCTCGCCTTTCGGCACACTGGGACAGCCTGCTCCTGTGTGTGCAAGACTTGCTTCTTTAAGCATGTCCATCCATCCTGGATCCCTTTGTTTTCAAGGGCTGTTTCTCAAGGTACCCTCTGAACTAGTCTTCTGAGTAGGCCAAAATCTACACTCTGAAAGTCCAGGATAGAAGTTTTGTTGATGACCCTCTTTGCATCTCTAAGTATTGGAAACTATTATTTCATGGTCACTGTGCCCCAGACAGCCTCCGACCACCACGTCTTCCACCAGACTCTCTGTTTTGAACAGCAGGTCTAGTGGTGCCCCATCTCTGGTAGGCTCATTTACCAACTGGAGCAGGAAATTATCCTCCATACTCTCTAGGAGTCTCCTAGACTGCCTCTTCTCTGCAGTGTTGAGTTCCCAGTAGACATCAAGCAGGTTGAAGTCACCCACAAGGACAAGGGCTGGCGATTTTGAGACATCTGCCAGCTGCTTGTTGAATAATTCATCACCCTCATCATCCTGATTGGGTGGTCTGTAACAGACTCCCACCAGGATATCAGCCTTGTTGGCCTTCCCCCGATTTTGGTCCACAGGCACTCGACCTTATTGTTACCAACTTCAAGTTCTACAGAGTCGAGAAACTCTCTAACATACAGAGCCACCCCTTCACCTCTCCTACCTTGCCTGTCCCTTCTGAAGAGCTTGTGGCCATCCACGGCAGCACTCCAGTCATGTGAGTGATCCCACCACATTTCCGTGATAGCGATTACGTCACAGCTTTCCTGCTGCACGATGGCTTCCAGCTCCTCCTGTTTGTTACTCATCCTGTGTGCATTAGTGTACATGCACTTCAGCTGGGCTGCTAGTTTCACTCCTAACTCTGGCTTTCCACCCTTAGGCTCATCTCTGGAGAGCCTGGTTCCAACCCCTTCCCCCTTCAAACCTAGTTTAAAGCCCTCCTGATCAGCCCCAACAACTTACAGGCTGGAGTCCTTTTGCCCTTGCTAGATAGATGAAACCCATTTGACTCTGGCAGGCCTGGTGCCATAGAAAATACCATAACCTTACATATTGTAATACATATATGTCTGTGTATGTAAGATTATAAAATATGTATTTCTAACCCTTGTGGTTATAAATATGAATCAACAATAGCCAGTGCATGAAATAAGAACTGCCTTCAGAAATCAGGTAGCAACTGTCTCACAGCGTTTCTTTCTTTGTTTTTGTTTTTCTGTTGATAATCCTGGGGTTTTATAAGCATTGACTATTGGTCAAGCCAGAAAATTTGTCAGCACAGATTCTCGTGATAGATTTTCTAAATATCAAAGGATGCAAAACAAAACTCTTGAATAGTGCAAAATAAAAAATTTGTAAAATAGATGTTTGCCTATTTTATTTTACAAGAATTACTTAATTCTTGTAACTAATGTGTAAATAGCTAACTCTCCTTGTTTTGCTCACTGTTTCATCCATGTGAATGCTATCTGATACAAAAAAATGATCCATTTCTTGCAAAAAAAAGTGCAAAACCAAAGAACTTTACACAGGCAACTTCTGTGAATTTGTATTCTATGTGATGGAATCTTCTGGTTTCTACAGAAGTCAAATTTTTTCATCATTATTTGCATATTAAATTCCATAGACATTTAAAGTCACATAATGTTCATTATTAATGTAACTGATAAGAAATTGAATGAGGATATATATTGGACTTTTAATTTCACAACCACCTAATTTCATGAAAAAGCCAAAAAAGCGCTATCAGTTACTACTGATAGCAGCAAACCCAGCATAATCAGTGCCCAATACCAAACAATGATACATGTTCCACTGGAAGAAACACTCATAGAAGACTGTAAATATGGATAATAAACAAAAAGCATTTTTCAGGGTATTTATCCTTTTCTCCATCTTCCCCCTTCCCCACCCTCCCTGATACAATTCTAGAATACAGATATACCTCACAAAGGTAGTGTACCTTGGAGCTTAATAATAACTTGCTGAATTTTTAGGAGGAGGAATAATCTACAACACGTACAGTCTGTGGACAGGCATCACAGGCCATGTAATCTCTCTTACCTACAGTTACCCTGTGTCAGATGCTTATGATGCATAAGACCAACTCTCTACTCTGTTGCAGCACTTTATACTAGTGCATATCATCAAAAGTAATTTGAATGTTTATCAGCATCTTGTGGCACAGTAATGGATCTTTTTACAATTACATTCAGAACAGTTTCCTCTTCTGTCTTAATTTGTTCCATCACTGGAAGTGTTCAAGGCTAGGTTGGATGGGACTCCAAGCAGTCTGGTCTAGCAAAAGGTGTCCCTGCCTGTGGCAGAGAATGTGAAATGAGATGATCTTTAACGTACCTTCCATCTCAACCATTAATTTCTGAGTATAGGATGGAGAGAAATTTCTCATCTTGTTCCTCCTTCTTCCCCCTAGGAGTTTTTTAGAGGTTCTAGGTTAGGTTCTAGGTTATGTTCTAGTTACTATTACCTGCTCATCTCTCATGGCAACAAACAAGAGAGGAGAAACCTCAGTTGCATCTGTGACATTTGCTTCTTGGGACTGATACAAGAGTGCAGCAAATCTTACTGCACTAGGTCAGGTTTCTGTCTGTCATGCTGCATGAACTTTCTCCTCACCAGCATGGGAGACAGGACAGGATATTTAATGGCATCTCAACCACTGCAGTGTCCAACGTGCATATAAGCACACATCCTCCTTTTTTGATGCTTTTAAAGTGAATATGCCAGTCTGTGAGCCATTCTGTAAGGAACAGGCAAATTTTTGTTATATAAAACAGTAACATCAGGAATGAAGCTGAGACCTGCAGCAGTGCCAGCAGCCTGGAGCAGCATCTAACTGCCATAAACCTCAACATAAAGTTTGGCATTACAACCAGGACAGCCTTGAGTTAAAGTGCTGCAGGAGGCTTCCTCCCTTTTCTTATTTTGGTTTGTTGAACTTTTTAAAATTTTTTTTTACTCTGTTTTATTGTAGCCTTGGAGTGAGACTGTTCATCCAGTTTCACCCAAAGGAATTCTTCTTATGAACCTGTTTATTAATTGTTTTCAGAGTGAATTTTCTGCTGGATCGGCCAGATAAACAGACTTGCTGTTGATGGAACAGGTTCAAGGAAAGTTGGCATGCATGCAGCTGGGATTAGTGGCAGTGACAGAGCACTCATGGTCAGATCAATTCAGCTATAATGTGAAACAAATGCAATTCTAGTCAGTTTAACAATGGTGTCTCAGACAACTTTGGTCCACATAATGTGGTCCCACTTCCATCCTGACTGTCTTGAATGTTACCCCTCCTGGCTGCTCATTCCCAGTCCCTCATTTCCAGTGCCATGAGCACCTTTGCTTTTCTGATCCTGCAGTGAGACAGCTCAGTGCATTAAATGAGCATGAAAATATTTTTATTTATTTTAGTACCCTCTGCTGATACAAGCAATGTCAGACAGGTAATCTCCTTTACGATGAACTAGGACACTCTTCTCTTTTGCAGTGCATGACAAGAGAATGCACTAAAGTCCATCTGTCCAAGTTCTTAACTATACAAGTAGCCCTTGTCCCACGTACAGTTTTGTTAAGCATCTGGAAGTATTTTCTTCCTCATATTAAAAAAATGCCTGCTGTAATAAAAGGATGATATTAATCAGGATTTAAAAGAGAAGATTTCTGATTGTGGTCCATTTCTTTCTCTAATCTCTCAAATTTCTTCATTATAATTTTTCACTGTCTTGAGGATTTTTGTGATTATTTCCTGGGTTTTGCCCATGTTATAATTTCTATCTTTTTTTTGTCTCTTATGTTTCAGTTGCAACCAAACTCAGAGCTTGGCCAGGACATCCTGAATAACTGCCTTGCAATCCAGACCCTCCAGCCAGCCCTGTCACCACATGACACTGCAGATAATTCCATGGAATACTCCCCAGGCCCTGTTCATAATATTTACCCAGGTATAGAAAAAGACATATGAAAAGCTGCTATGTAATTGCTCACTTAAGATGAAGGATGATTTTGCAGAGTAGGATGTACTCTGAAATCCATATCTATCTCATAAGAATAGAATCTGCAAAGTAATATAAAAATACAGATTTTGAACAGATTTTTATATGGGTTTTGGAGGGAGGCATGCCAAATCATACTATATCCATGAAAAGAACTACTGCAACGTAGAGCGATATTTGACTTCTGCTACAAATTCACTGCTACTATTCCTTGTAGGCATCAAGAATATGTTAAACTTCGTTTAAAAATCACAGTATTTTCCCTCTTACTTATTCATAGATCACATATCAGTTTTCCAGTTGATCTACATCAATGTACTTAAATGCTGCATTATGAGCTCTCATATTATCACTATAAATATGCCAATAAACACATTTATTCTATAAATGTAATTCTATTTTATTGTACAGTGTATAATTTTTGTTCACATTTCAACTAAATTTGAAACAGTTGGTAAGCTATAATACATCTCAAAGCTCAAGACAGCATGGACAGGATATTAACATTTTTTATGGATTATTTTAGTAGTTGTGAAGGCATCTGTTTTTAACTTTTATACAGAATGCATTACATCTTCTATCAATCCAACTTTTAAGTGAGAACCAGATGTAGGCAGTGAATGAATTGGTTGCATTAATGTTATGTGCAGTGATGAAAATTACATTATATGAAGTGGCCACTTCAAAAAGTAGTTTTATTTTATTGAGAGGCTTGTAAGGCTATCAGTTCTATTATATGTTTTTGTCAAGGCTGCTGTGAGTTACACACTTGCTGGTGGTGATGCAGGTTAATATGACAAAAATTAGGAAATATAAAGCTGTGACTGTATTCTAATTTATTTAATAGTTGGTATTACTTGTACACTGTTAAATTTTAAATGCCATATTCTGAATATAGGGTGAGTGTGGCATCTGTTACTTGAAAGCATAAAGAAACTTCAGATTTTAGAGATGCAATTTGGTCCAGGAAATCTCTGGGAACATGTTGTTAGTTATAGTTATTTTTTTCATGTTGTATGTTGAGAGGGAGTTAGGTAGTGAGGAATGTTGAGATTTAAAATAATTATTTAATGGCATTGCCCAGTGTAAGGTGCAAAACTGAGAGATAATAAAGACTCAGCTTTTCATTTTCCTTTCAAATCCCTAGGCAGAATAGAAGGTGGGATGGGACATTGTGTCACAAGAGCCGAAACCAGATTGTCAGAAATTGAGGACATTCTCACAGGAGATTTCCACAGCAACCTGTTGAGCACTCATTTCTTTTAGCTTCCAGACTCTGATTAAGTGTCAGACTCCAGCAGCTTGGTCAATCCAAATCTAGGCTGACAGTGGCTTGAAGAAACTGTTGCTTGTGACCAGCCAAGTTAAGCTGCTGCCTCCAGCCAGCCCTTAGCTGGCAGTTGTCTGCAGTTGTGATGTCGCACAGACAGCTTCTAAGACTGTGGCATTACATTTTATAGTCTCATTCATGCCTTGTCTTTAAGTACTTGGTGTTTACAGCACTACTAACTATTGACATAGTTTGATATAATAAATTATTTTACTTGTTTCTTACTTGGCACTGCTTCCTACTGTATGGCAATTTTTATAGCGTATTCTTATCAGCATGAATTTCTGTGTAAGTAATAATCTGCTTGCCCTTACTTGTGTTCACAGTTATCTATTACTTGGAAATTTCTTGTAGTTTTATTCACTTGTGTTGTTTCACATCAGTTAACTGAGAGTATTATGTCAGGTATAGATGAATACATGTCACTCCATTTTGACAACCACCCAATTCAGTTGAAATGAGTTATTTCATTAACTACTCATCAGGACTGCTACCTAATAATATACTCTGTGAATCAATAAGGTACCTTTTCCAGGCAGGGAATTACTGTATTGAAATGGCAATATGAAAATTATTCATGAACCAAGGAGAGGAAAGTAAAATATACAAAAGCTTAAGTGTCCTGCCTTACAGAAGCTACTCTCCAAAATTCTTTAAAAACATTTTTTTTTGTATATAACAAAATATAACAACAAATTATGAGACTTCAAAAAAAATAACGTTACTTTTACTGGGTACTGTTTGATACAGCCTATTATCTGAAATGTGTCTGTGCTACTTTTCAAGTAGAAACAAGAACAGATTTCCATTCTTCCAGTGATGTCAAATCAAACTTTTCTGACTCGAAGGTGACTTTGCTTATCATTGATGCACATTTAAGACTTCTGAAGATGTCTACAAAATAAATGTTTGAAAGCAAACTATTAGAAATATGTAAGAAATGTCAAAAGTAGACGTATGGAAGCAATAGTACATAGTACAACGCCTGTAGGGACAACTGTACAGTTTCAGTACTGTTAGAGTACAGAATCTAGAAACACAAGAATATTTAAATTAAATACAACGATAATATTTTTGATTATGTACCTACTACTTAGAGTTAACTTCCAAAAATACTTTTTCTTATCTTGTAGTCCTAATAAAAGAAATGTGAACTTGCTTAGGTATAATCTTACTAATACAGTGAAGTAGCATGACAGGTCCTTCGCTTAAAACTAACACAACATTGTATTTAAAGATCTAAAGCAAGCATACAGACTCTTCTAAGGTTAAGTATAGTGATAGCATCTGGGTTTTAATTTTCAAAAATACATAGGCTTATGGGCTTATTCACTTCACAAAATGAAGATGTGAGCAATTAATTCATAAGAAAATAAGGATGATTTTTTTTTTTACTATGTAGTTGTATGAACTGTTTATAGTGCAATCTAAAATCTGTAAAGCTGAAAGAATCATAAGTAATGTAATACAAAAAATACTTTTACTGTGCTATTTGGTTAAAGCTTGACCATTTCATATTTAAGCATAAACCAGAATGTGCAATTCATATAGGAATAGCTAATGAATCTCATACACAGCTCTGCTCAAGAGCAAGCAAATGATATCACTTAAGCTTGGCAATTGCATGACTTTCCTTGCAAGTTGGCATTCAAAAGTTGCATCTATAAAGTTACATAACTTATTTGAATTCTAAGTGTTTTTTAAATAATTTCTTATGTTGTATGTTATGCTTTATTGTGAAACTTCAGCCTAACTATTTTTATGCCTATGATTCAAGTTGTGCTTTGCTTACATAATACTTTTCTTTGTGGTTTTTTTTCCCCACTGAAATAGTACTAAGCCAGGTGCTCTGTGCACATAATAAGAGAACAACCAATCCCTATGGAGTATGTGTCTAAGATAGTTTAGGAAAGTAGGTAGAAACAACAGGCAGGTAAAGAATAGAGTACAGGTACAGGAAAAAATAAAACGGTTTTATTAAAGCAATTGTCCCAGTGAGCAAGCTCCCTAAGAGATGTCTGAGAAAAAAGGCAGTCTATTTGTTGAGGCTGACAGCCTTGGAAAGTAGTTAAAGCTCGTTAATGTAAGAAAAATCAAACTGAATGAAAAGGAAGAAGTGACATGTGAATGTCCCTTGCCATGAAAAACAAAATTGTGTTTGATGCATAGGGATGGAGACAAAAGAGTCAGTGATAGGGATACCAGCAACAAAGAGGATCTCTGTTGTCACTCTTTAGGGTGAATTTAAGTGTTGCATAGTATCTAGAACTCCTGGTGAATGTGATGTAGTCCCAGATAGGACCATACACACGTTACAGGGAGTTGAAAAGTGTTAATATTATTATCTATCTTAGTTTAAGGAGGATAGATTATTTTCCCTCAGACCTGTCCTTTTATTCACCAGTTTTACTTCTGAGTTTATAATTTCCATTTTGAGACACCTTAATGGTTCTCCAAAAGTTCATGCTATGTTCTGGTTCATGTTGTAAAGAAGAGAACATTTACTGATGGATTAGTGTGTAAGCAACACAGCCATTTGCACCTTTTATGGCGCCTTTCATCATGATGAGACAAAACTTTAGAAACTGCAGTCCTCTGAAAGGGAAAAAAATGTCTTAAAAGGCAAGGATGAGATCTAAAGATAAAATCATAGTACTATGAAACTAAGTCATTTTATATTCTTACAGTTTAATTAGATTTTTTCATGGTAAAATAGAAGTTACCCTGTTTTTGCAAGGAATAATTTGTGTTTTTATTTTGACAGTCTGAATGTTCCTTTGCAGTGTACTGATATGTTAAATATTCTTTCTGCTTATTCTATCAGAAAGCATGTTTAGTTGTTTTTCGTTATTTTCTTCTGTGCTGCATGTAAGCATAAAATAAGAAATTTGAAAGTTCATTCCTCTGTTTTTCCCTCTGCATTCACCTTGATGCTCTTGTGAGAGACAGGCATGAAGAAGGTGACTTATTTGGTACATGAACAAAAATGGGAAAAACACATTCTCCTGTCTTAATGAGGGGAATTCTTCCTCAGCTCTTTCTCTGTGTTTTACACTGGTGGCTGAAGTCGTGTCTCATCTCCTGTGGGACCTGCATCCTCTGTACATCATTTAAAGTTCTACTGTCAGATGTCTGTTGTCACTTGGGTTGTGATGAGGACACTCTGGTCTGTATACAAATTAGCAAGCAGGTCATCCTCCACTCTGCCAGCTTTTCCAGCAACTGTGGCTCATGACACCTTCTCATGTCCAAAACTTTGGCATTACCTCTTTGTTTAGTCATCTAGAAACTTCCTTTATTGGAAAGTGTACAAGATCAACCTTATAGAAAATTACTAAACTGTTAATGATGGTTTAAAATTTTTGTATGTATTACTGAGGAGTCTGGGGCGATAACAGCAATATTACTCTTCAAGAAATTTGGGATTTTTACAGCTGAGAGAAAAATGTATAAAATATTTCACATTTTCAGGAACTGTGCTTTCTGCTTACCAGCTCTAAAAACACATGCTTTGGGAAGTATTTGACACCTCTTCTGAAACAGGAAGGTATAGAAGATTTGCAGCCTTAGTTAGACGAAAATTCCAAGACCAGGAACACGATTATGTCATGCCTGGTTGTATGAAAGTGTCGTTTGGAAGCAACAGAGAATATTATTTTATGTGGGTTTTTCTTCTTCCTTTTAAACAGAAAGCAACACTTGAGAAAAAAAAAACAGTTAGTTGCAAAGAATTGTCACTGCAGCTTTACAGGAGCTCTTACCTGTTGGTGTTTGGTCAGTTATCAGTATTATTGCCTGCATGAGAAGGATTATTTCTCTCCTTTTACTTTCAGCAGCCCTGATCGCCAGCACACAGACCAGTCAAAGTGCTACAGCAAGTGGGACAGTGTCCTTGTCCCACCCCAGCAGCCACCACTCCCCAGGACATAATACACAGGGTAGTCCTCTCCATCCTCCCCCTCAGATACCTCTTCTCTCAGCTGCGGTGTCAGAGAGGTAAGACCAGTCCCAGTTTTTGCAACACGGAGCCTGAGGCAGGACTGCCTTCAGAGCTGCCAGGAAGGGTGGAAACTGAATTGTCTGTGTACAGAGTCACTGGTGGCAGACCCCACCTAACGATTGCTGTGGGTGTGGGTTTATCAGGGACGCAGAGGTAAAAGAGACAATGTTATTCCAGCCTGGGCAAGGAGGCATCCCATCCATTTCAGAGTCTTCCTTCAATCCCCTCTTGACCACCACAGATGGCCCAAGCAAGGAAAATGATGCTGACTGGGATGCTGAACCTCAGAGGACCCCAACCATACTCACAGAATGGCAGCCCCATGTTTCTGTTTATCTGTGGGAGGAAAGTCATATTCTGTCAATATTCTCTCAATACTAAGCATTCATTCAGGAATTTGGCTTTTTTTTTTTTTAATTGACATTTTATTAAGACAAAGAGATAATGAACAAATTTTTATTTCACTGCTCTGAGAGATTAATTTATAGCCAGGATTTATTTTATGCTAATTATGTATGGTTTATTATATGCTGGTCAGGTATTACTGTTTCCATAATTTTAGATATTGCGGTGATGTAAAAGCAGATTGCTTGGAAGTGTGTTGATTTCATATTTAGACATCCCCTAAATTATTTTCAGCAATCTTCCCAATTATCTAGGTAATGTATGGTATTATAGATACGGAAATATATAGTTCATTGAACCAGAAGTCTAGCAGATCACAAGATTGAAGAGGCCCAAGCAAATAAGTTTTCAGTGGAAAATTCAGGAAGATAACATCATCATACATAATACTGAATTCTTACTATATGTTTATGCATACTTAAACTTTATTTTGTAAATATCTCTATTTTTCAGTTCTCTAAATGATAAATTGCTGTATTTCATTACTGTATTTCAAAGTGTTTAATTTCCTTGAGTGACAGAAATGCCAGTAATTTGAAGAGTATGGTCTCCAATTATAAACCTGAACAGAACATTCACTGGGTTTCTATTACTGGTAAGGGAGCCCCCGGTGGTCCAGGGGAAAATTCACTGCACTGTCACTGCAGAGACCCAGGTTCGATTCCCGGTCGGGGCCCCTCCCCGGGCAGATGGAGCTCGTTAGCCCGTAAGGCAATCCATCTACGTCCTGAGGACCTCGCTGCCACCGTCCAAGCGTGCTTGGCCCCGGCAGATGAACCTCAGGATTAAAGGGTGGGCTCAGTT